GTCAGAAAGATACGCACGTAGAAATTCGAGCAGTTACATATACACTCTGCCCTCGCTTTCTCCTTATCTCACAAACATGAGCGTAACATACGTGCAGACCCCTTACCGAATCCGCTGGCGAGCGCCAACAGCAGGGAGGAGGTCAGCAGTGCGGTCAGCTCCATGCTGTGGTCACGAATGCTGGCTAACAGCCGGCGCAGCCAGAGCTCATGACGCGCAGCAGGGGCTTAGCGGCACAACAATGGGCTGCGAACCGGCCTGTCACAGCGTACCGGCGGCCCTGCCCTGACACAGAGAGAGAGGGGCAGGCATGCCAGCGTGGGTGTGTGATAATGGGGCTCATTAATGGAAGGTCAGATTTTATCGCGGAGCTCGTAGCCGCTAAACCCGGGTGAGGTCACCGGTGACTATGAAGTTGGCGCTTTTGCCCGCATTTCAACGATGATGGTGCTTATACTCAGACAATAGGTGGTGACAAGCCACCAAGCCCATTCTGCCTGACCGCCACTGGATTCGCAGCGTCGGATGGGGTCAACAGCTCCAGCTGGAGGTGTAGCTACAGAGATGAGGCGAGCTGTTGCCGGTGGGAAAGTGATGGCCGGGTACGCTTCTCCTTCGAGTGAGAGAGACACGGCGGATAACAGGGCTCAACCGGTTTGTGGCCGAAAGTGAACAACTATCGGCGGACGGTACAGTGAAATGAGGACAGCAGATCGGTCATGCATCAGGAGGCATCAGAAGACATCAGGAGGAGGTATCAGGAGGCCTCAGGAGGCCTCAGGAGGAGGCATCAGGAGGCCTCAGGAAGCATCCCTCCCCTGCAGGGCTCTCCCGGGCCGTTTTTACATGGCGGTTTCTGCAGCCGTCTTTCCGCGTGCCCGATTTCGCCTGAGGCTGCCGACTCCAGCGCGCGCCAGAAGATCGGGGAAAAGAGAGCCTGAAAGCGGGCTCAGCCGCACTCAGATCTGTGAGCGTTGTCGCGGAGAAGGCTGAAAGGTTACCTGTATGCTTGACGCCGGCAGCTGTACACGCTGTCCAGACACTGCAGACTGGCATGGCTGTGAGCATACGGGGCAACTGATAACTCTGACATACCGCGGAGAGTGTCGCCTGGTCTTGGCTGCGTCACTTTGCTGGCAGCGAACGGCTACCGAGGGACAAAGGCGACCCGGTATCTGGCAGACGGACGAGATTAGCAGGCCGCCACGTGCGTACCAGGCGGACCATCCAGCTACTGATGAGACGACCGAGAGGTTCGTTAACCAGCTGACGACTCGATGGAGCAAAACAACGTGGTCATATAGCAAAGGCAGGCAGTATATAAAACGCAAAGCGCAGTATGCAATAGAATGCATAAAACAATGTCCTGCGGTTGACTAGCCAAACGAGCGTTCTGTCTCTATTTGCTGACGAGCCATCAGAGAGATGCAGCTGTCGACAAACCCGTGTTGGAAGAGGAAGATTAAAAAACACTGAACTTCGGCGTCCATATCGCCCTCAGCCTAAGTAACAGCGATTAAGTATCTTAGAGCACGGCTTGAGTTGGGCCGACCTAAATGCCTGATGTGATCACCAAGCGGGACATAATAAAACGAAACGCTTTGTCGGACACCCGTGCACCCGAGACGTTCCACAAACGGGCGGTCGGTCGGGCCTCGCTGTCCCGCCGTGTCACTCGGGCCGCTGCTGACGGTATGTGGCAGCTCCCGCGAGTGCGCACTGAGTTCGTGGACCTATCATTTGGTTTCCCGAGGGACTCCAATGTGGAATTCGCTGTCGTCGGGCGCCCGCCTGTCGTCCGCTGCTAGCGCCTTGGCCTTTAAGAACGGCCTGGTCGCTTGCCTGCGATCGAGATGAGTTTGTTGCGCCGTCTTATCACCGTGCGCCTTTCTTTGATGTTCGATATGTGTAACGTGGATGCCGGAAAATCGTGTTTTGGAGGATCCTAAAAACAATTTATGTATTTATCTAACCAACCGATAGAGCGGTCCGTGTCTAACTATTGACAAGCCGACAGAGAAGCCCGTCCAACTGCTAACGGGCCGATAGAGCAATGCGTGTCTACTGCTGACGAGCCGGTAGATTGGTCCGTGTCTAACTGCTGACGAGCCGGTAGATTGGTCCGTGTCTACTGCTGACAAGCCGGTAGGGTGATCCGTGCCTATTTACTGACAGGCCGGTAGGGTTACCTGTGTCTAACTGCTGACGGGCCGGTGGATTGGTCCGTGTCTAGCTGCAAACAGGCCGGTAGAATGTTTCGTGTCTAACTACCAAAAGGCCTATAGAATGGTCCGTGTCCTATTTACTGACGTGCCGATAGGGTGATCCGTGTCTTACTGCTGACGGGCCGGTAGTGGTTCGTGACTAACTGCTGACAAGCCGACCTAAATGTCCGTTTTTCCGCCGCAGAATCATCCCTCGCGGCTGCGTATGCCTTCGCTTCGAGAGACGGCCGTCAGAGCAAAAACGGCTTCGTGCTGATCGAGGCTCGGCACCTGCCAAAAAGCAATCAAGCAGGTCTCACTGACAACGGACGGGTGGGAATGAGATGAGGGCTGCGCTGGCTCTACCGGGGATGTTGAACGCTGAGCGTGATTAGACTGCAGGCCGTGCTGCGGAAATGAGGGCATCGGTGAAGGGCTACCCGTCAGTGTTTTCGAGCATCTCACGCTTGCAGCTGACAGCGATGCCTATAAAATGACATTCTTACGTATGCTGTACAATATGGTCATGATCCTGCAAGGTGAGTAATAAAGTAATACACGTCCTGCACGAACTTTATAAGTCAGAGCCATCCGTATGTGTTGTTCGACGGTGAGGTTGGGTATAAGGGCATAAAAGAAAGCGCTCTATCCATTCTTATTTCCTCCATCAGGCTACCTCATCAGCCTTAATTACTAGCAGTTTTGTTTCATTTAATTAATTGTTCATTTCGGCTTAAGTACAACTTCCGTTGGGAATGCCACATTTACCACGCCGTCCGCTTCTCTTGATAGCCGTCACGGGATGAGCTGATTAACTCAGTGCCATACTGATGGCTGGAAAATCCCGAGTAATAGTACGGCGCGGTTTGACCCGCTCCAGTTTCAGCCTACCCGTGGCACAGACAGAGGCGGAAATGTTAAGCTTCACAGCGATTTCGTTAATTCTTTCCGATCTCAAACCAAAAACCAGTTTGATAAATGTCGTACCTGACCCAGTCAACCTCCGTGCGTGCAGGAGGCGTCAAGTGAGGCGTCAAGTTGCGCAAAATGACCACAGAAGTCGGCGTGCCCTAAAACTCCAATCAGCAAAGGAGGCGTCAAGTTCGTGAAAAGAAAGCAGAGTCAAGCATAACTCCGGCACAAAATTCATAGTGTGTCCCTCACCACCAGCAGTTGGCTTTGCCACGAGCACAACTTGGCAAAATCACACTCTGGTCGTTGTCATGCAGAATCGAGCTTGTCATTCTTTGTGTTGGTTCTTGTATGCCCCAGGTGGCCGATGTAAAACCACCTGAACCATTCTTAGAGCCGATTTCCCTCCTGTCCAATTACCAGTGGTTCTCTTTTGGAGACAAAAGCGATCGGAGAGCGTCCACGACTTATGCTTACTGACTGTGGCATATCTTTTGATAACCTACTAGGTCTGCATATTAAACTCTAGACATGTTTGATCCTATCAGACATACTCTTCTACGTTGTTTTGCCCATACGTCGGTAGGCATGCATTTCAACCGCAGGGAGGTATTTATAATTCAAGATGGGTCATTCATGTTCCCAATAAAGTCATCCGTGCAACGTACCTTGCTATATCCGCATAAAATAATGCAGTATTTTACGCGCAGCATGTATTGCCGCTGGATTTTTGGAAGCAGTCGCTAAGAAATATTACAGGCATGAACTTTTTCAAGCTCTGTTGAGCTTAACTAGTTGATCGCTCCCTCGATTCCCGATCAAGCAGTGATCATCATCAGATCAGACATCCACTCGAGCTCCTAGGCTGGTGCAAGGAAATGGGCACAAATTACTCAAACGTCTGGACCATCCAGCAGAGCTCGCGTTTCGTCAGCTCTCGTGCATTCATTGCCCGCCTGAGCGTTATCGCTGGGGGTTAGGTATGACCATATACGCTTTAATAAGGTAGCCTATTAGAGCCAGCCATAAATTGGGAAATTTATGAATTTAGGACTGATGAATTTATTGCACTGAACTGGGTAAGGAAGCTAAAATCTACTCAGATTGGAGACTGATCCGATTCGGAGATGTGTCAACACAAAGTGATCTGATTTGTTGGAAAGTCCATCGCCAGGAAATGTGAGCTTGGGCACTCAATAACATGTTACGCCAAACTGGCAGATATTTCAGAATGTCTCTACAGTGTGTCTCTCAATGTCAACATCAGATCAGAACAAAACCATCTGATTCGCAGTGTTTACCATCAGAGCACACTGGACTTCACCACAAACTCCTCCATTGCCACTGGGAGCGGAGAAGTGGCGGTTACGCTCATGTACTCTGCATTCCATTGGCTGTTGATCTGCGTGTGGCCGTTCATCTGCGTGATGCTATTCATACCTTGTTGTCTACAAAGGTCTGGAAGCCCTGCTTCGTCCCGTCCTACGGTCCTCCAGCGTCGAGGTGCGCCGTAGCGCTCGCGCGCACTCGCGCCGAATTCGTTATCTTTGGATTGGGTTTTCACTTGCGCCGACCGGCGGCGCGTCATTATGCAGATGAGCGGGCAGATGGGATCGGCGGCGTGTGGCCGCAGGGACGGGGGCGGCGGCGGCCGTCTGACCTGGGCACGGCCGGCCGACCTGGGCCCGGCCGCCGCCCGCCCGCCGCCGGCCGCGCCGCGCCGGTAGCGGTCCGACCACTACAAGTGAAAGTCCTGCGGCTGCGGCGGCGCACCGCGACGGCGAACAGTGCGCTGCCGTCGGCCGAGTGTGTCGCGTCTGCCCGACCGCCGTCGCCCGCCGACCGCGCCGGCTGCCTGCCGACGAGGGCTGTGCAGTAGAGCTGCGCAGAGAGCGCCCCAGGTGGGTCTGCGGCGGCCGTGCACCGCCGGCCGAGCCGAGCGCGTCCGCTTGGGGACGCGCCACCTTTGTCACCTACTTCTGTTGCTAAGGTTAACCTAAATAGAACCAGTTTGAGAGAGGCATTGGCAAATGTTGGCAGTGCGGGACGCGACTGCCGTCAACGGCACGGCTCTGCCGGACCTTACGCCGCAGCGAAGTACAGTTGGTTTGAGTCATAGTAAATATGTTTTGAGCTAAAGTAAATTGTCTGCTAATACATTGTCATCTCAAGCTCCAACGAATCGATATCTTCCGTTTAGAGCCTCATCGTCTTTGCTGAGTGGGCACGTAATATCACAACGTCATCTCGCCAGACCAGATCCAGAAGAAAATCTCAAATGCTACCGCTCAGTGGGGGCACTCGAGATAAGCCCGCGGGCGGGTAGTACCGACGACACCGCGAGATGGGATGGGCCGGGGAAGCGGACTGAGATCCACTTTTGTGGTGGCCCCCCTCCCCCTCACACACACACACACACACACACCACACACACACACACACACACACACACCACACACACACACACACACACACACACACCACACACACACACACACACACACACACACACACACACACACACACACACACACACACACACACACACACACACCACACACACACACACACACACACACACACACACACACACACACACACACACACACACACACACACACACACACACACACACCACACACACACACACACACACACACACACACACACACACATACGCGTGCATCCACGCACGCACGCGAGCACGCACGCACGTAGTAGGCCAAAGATGCTTCCTGTTTGTCTTTCCACTTGCGAGAGTAGGCATCTTAAAAGTTTATTCTAACTAGTTCCAAATGTACATACCTAACCCTCCATCACTTCCGTGATATTTGAGCATTAGGTGTCTGGTAGTTAATGTGTGAGGGGTGACTTTTTGGTCGTGGGCATAAATAATGCTGCCTTGTGAACGCTTTGCAATGCAAGCCAATCTTCCACATTGCCGATAGCGTATCTCAGGAGCTTCACAAGTGCAACGCACAGTTGAACAGCCCGATAAAATAAGCACTCAGGCACTTATACAAAGGTCATTTCCCGTGTGACTCATGTAATCTGTAGATGGCGTTGTTTCAGTTCGCATGTCATAGTGTGAGCAAGTACTAAACTGACTCAGCGACCACCCAGTACGGACACCGCTATCAAGTCGAATGAAACACATAACTGTACATTCACTTACTTTCTGCACCTTTGCAAAGTCGATCAGACGTTGAAAGGGTTCCCCCCGCGAAGTACAGTCGTCACAGATCTTACTCAGAGTACACCGTTCTGACGTTTCGTGACTGAATGAAAAGATCTAGCGATTCCGGACGACCGCCATGGTGCTACCCTTACACCACGTTCTCCATTGAATCGGCGCTGTCCTTATTTGCTCATTAATCACCAGGGGCAACATCGTTCTACCACCGCGGTTCAGACCGCAATAGGGCACTCCAAAAACACGGCCAGCATTTATAATCTATGGACTATGCAGCAGCTGAATCAAATCAATCTAAGCTGATCGCGTGGCTCCATCGGTATTTCTATAAGAAGCGTGACATCCATCCGCAATGACAGTGAGACCGCCTCCATGGGGCGTAATCTGATAGCAGTGCCTGCCTTTCCACCATGCCACTGCATCATTAGTGGCCTGTTTGAGATAGTGCCGTATCCGTCCGGTGACTGTCGAGCGGCCAGCGGCGGCGCGTCATGACGTGGCTCTGGTCGGACGGAGCCGGACCCTGGCGGGGCGGCGGAGCGCTCCTGCTGGCCGGGTCACGCTCGCTCGCCCAGGCCGGCCGGCGCCCAATCTGCAGCCTGGCAGGCACATGACACGGCACTGGCCACGGCCTCATTACGGCGGCGGCAGCTGGCCGGCCCGCTCTAGGGCAGTTCTCACCCGCTGACGGGTTTGCTCGTCAGGGGCTCGGCGGACCCGTCTCCGGGCAGTTCTCCCCACACTGGCAGGGAAGCAGCGTGAAGGACACGGTGGACCAGCCTCTGGACAGCTCTCCCCACAGTGGCGGCAGGGGGCGTGAAGGACACAGTGGACCAGCCTCCGGACAGTTCTCACCACACTGGCGGGGAGGGGGGGGGGGGGGAGCGTGAAGGACGCGGTGGAGCAGCCTCCGGACAGTTCTCATCACACTAGTGAGGGAAGCTCCTCAGGGACACGCTGGACCGGCCTCCGGTCAGTTCTCACCACATTGACGAGGGAGGCTCGTCAGGGGCGCGGCGGACCAGCCTCCGGTCAGTGCTCGCGGACGAGGTGGGCTCGTCAGGGACATGACGGACCCCGCTGCTCGGTGGTAATGCCCGCTCTGCTGATGGGCGGGATCCTCACGGGCTAAATAGACACACTCAGGGGTAATGACCGGCCTTCTGATGAGCGGGGCCCTCAGGGGCACAGCATACACGCTCAGGGGTAATGCCTGCCCTGCTGATGAGGGGATCCTCACGGGCTAAATAGACACACTCAGGGGTAATGACCGGCCTTCTGATGAGCGAGGCCCTCAGGGCACAGCAGACACGCTCAGGGGTAATGACCGGCCTCCTGATGAGCGAGGCCCTCAGGGCACAGCAGACACGCTCAGGGGTAATGACCGGCCTCTGATGAGCGAGGCCCTCAGGGCACAGCAGACACGCTCAGGGGTAATGACCGGCCTTGATGAGCGAGGCCCTCAGGGCACAGCAGACACGCTCAGGGGTAATGACCGGCCTTCTGATGAGCGAGGCCCTCAGGGCACAGCAGACACGCTCAGGGGTAATGACCGGCCTGCTGATGGGTAGGGGTAGGTTTCGCCGACGTCACCATGTCCGGTACCGCCATTCCCGGACTCGATGGCATGACGTCAACGCCATGCATACACCCCGCGGGAGCTTTCCTCGCCACTTGGTCCGCGCTGAGAGCAGCCACACGCATGGAGCACCGTACCTTGCACCGTGCATGATGTGATTCACGTGGCGAGAGGTGCTCCTGTGTGGATGCCAGCAGCGGAGAGCGCGCCTATCGGAGGCCCTTTGTCAGGATAGGTAAGTGGGCAGCTCCGGACGGCTCGATCTTTGATCGATGGACCTGATACAAACCACACGCGTGCTCTCGATACGGCCGAACGCTGCGCTACGTGCTCCGTTAGTCATAGGGCAAACGTCACTCGGCGGTGACTCGGATTGGGGTTGTTTACTTGGACTTTCGAAAAGCCTGTTTAGGACAGATTGCTTTCCTTTTAATTCCTCGTTGTTACGACGCTTAGGCTGTTAAGATGTAGCGTTATTATTTGCCCTTTGTCATAGTCATCTTCGGAACAGGGAGATGGCACCAAGTTTTGGGGGAGAAAATGAGAGGGGGAAGACCATTGTGTTTTATCACCATGTTCCTCTTACTAGGGCTAGGCTTCACAGATGCGGTTGAGGTGAAACTTATCCATTACGAAAACTAACGTTTTCATTTAAGTTTTGGATCCCTTCATTACTGTGAGACCAACTGGTAGTGAGAGTGGCTCCCGGACTGCCTGGTAATGAGCCGCTCTCTGTCGGGCCTAGCTCCGTCGTCCGGGGCAGCAACTGTTACCACGGGTGGTCCTGATACTGAAGTTGGAGGTTCTAGTCCTTATGCTTGAGAACCGTTTTGCCTGAGTAGTTCGCAGTACTCTTAAGTGAGTTTCAGGCAAAGCAAAAGGGCGAATTGTTGAGCATATTGCTGCAACGCACAAATGAAAACCAAGAGGCGTAAATGAATTCAGCAGTTTTATGCGAACTGTCGTGTGCGTTTTGTGTTGTTTCCATGCTGTATGAACACTTAACGCAACATTTGTAGCAAACATTCGAGTACACACATAAACATACACTGGACTATGACCTGATTGCCCCTGGGATCAAGAGGTCACAGCGACGGTCAGCTGTGCACAGCAATACTGACACAGTTGTCAAGTCAGCCTGCCGGAGACAGCACATCCTCCACAGCAGTGGCCTGTGTGCCAGTTAAAACAACAGAACACATTTACGCATCGTCATGCCTGCACGACCATCTTTACCACCGCAGGGCTTCTCTGCTCAGAACATGATCATGCCATCACCACAAAACATTCATTTTTCCATGAATTGCCGTTTATTCCGGTCGCTTCTGTGCGTTTGTATTTGTTTGGCTTGAAATAACTGTTGTACATGCATCCGAACTGCTTCAAACGTGAAAGAACCGTCCTGTCTTCATTGCATGTGGATATATCTTTTAGCTAGCAGCATCACGAAGATTTATAGCATATGGGAAGTTTGGATCACCAAATAGCACAGCATTCACGTCCAGCCTGTTTCGGATGGGTCTAACGTAACGGTTTACAGTAGCTGATATCTTGCGCCAAAAGGCACGCACGGGTCCGCAGTTCAATAAACGGTGTACTAATGTATCGTTTTTCCCCACAGCACGTACATGGTGGTTCCATAACGTGCCTTACGTGCAAAAATCGTTTTGTGGACATATGCCTAAGAAATATCTGAAATTGAAGAGACTGTAGCTGGGTGGAGGCACAACAGCGATAAGCGATTTCGAGGTACTTTTTACGTGCCTCCAGGGCTAACCCCTCCGATTCCCAGTTGTAGAACGCTTTTGGTTTGCGCATCATTTATTCCAAAGAATACAGTTCCTTTGAACAGAATGCAGCGAGTGGGTTTTCTCGTGACTCGAATTTAAAGAGCACCTGTGCCTCCCTCGCCTCTGTAGATATTCGTTCCAAGCTTCTGCTTTTCACCAACAACAGCTTCCACCTTGTGGGGATTGCACTTACCAAACGTTGATACCCAAGGAGGTCATTCCTGCAATTGGGATACTTTGCGCGCGTTGGGTTGTACTTCAAGCACCGCTCCTGTCTAGCAATGATGTCATTGGGGAATTTTGTGCAGCAGAGATTCATACGGCGGTGGAAGTTAGCACAGTTTCTGATCAGGATGCGAATGTTAAACCAAATGATCTCGTCCCTTACTAGTTGTGATGTATTCAAATTGTCGCGTTACTGAGTCATTCGCTTACTACTTCCCTTCTTCTCCGGGTGCTGAGAATGGTTTCATGGCACCCTTGGGTCTTGGATCGCCATGTTGCACGTCCCATCGCTGAATTCAAGCATGGCTTTCTCATGTCCCTATTCACCATTCTCCTTTCACATCTTGTCTGCATCAGTCAAAATCTCAAATACTTTGCATACTTAAACTTAAGCCTTGTTGTTCCTAAGGTCGCTTCAAGGGAACACACAGCGTGGACGTGAGGGAGGCAAGACAATCATTGTTAGTTCTACTCCAGGAATAAAAAGAACGGGGGAAAAGACGTGGTGAGGTGGAAAGACTAACGGAGCTGGCATGTTACGAGGCCGTGTGTGGGACAGATAGGTGGCGGAGCATAGAATAGAGGTTCAAGGGCCAGAAGAAAGCGTGAACAAGTAATAAGAAGCCCAAGGCGGATTCAGGGAGCATAGCTAGGACGAGGCGGCGTAGTGTGTCTAGTCTACTGCAGCATACAGTCTGGGCTCAGCTGCGAGGGTTGGATTCAGGGAGGCTAGCTCCGACGAGGCGGCATACTGTATTAAGTCTACTGCAGCTTGCAGTCTGAGCTCAGCTGCAAGGGATGGACTCAGTGCAGCCATGTACTACATTTGAGCCAGCATGCCATGCATTCATGCAATTAAATGGGAGAGGACCTTCCAACGTGAGAAATACCGTGATATGACTTTGAGTGATGAACTGAGTACCGGAGCTTAATATGCATTTTCACATTCACATTTATGTCAATTCTTATCAGAGTTTTCATTTTGTGTGCATTTGGCCTGCAGCGCGTGGGTTAACGTAGTTTGGCTGTCGACAAAATCGCCAACCTAAACGTTGGCTGTCAAGCATTCTGTCTCTTGCAATTTCTAGTGTTAATTTGGCGACGGTGATTTGTAAGTGGTCACGCAAGGCCAACTGAATGGTGTCGCAATTTTCTTTACACTGTTCAACATGTCCATACTCCCTCAGGGTTGTAGAACCTTGCAGCCATGCTGTTATGGAGCCGAGCAGTGAACAGAGCGCAACGAAATAACTGTTACAAAACATATATTAAAACCCAAATGCTCCACGCAAAAAGGGCACTGTATCAGGCGTCAGTTTTTTAAGATATTCAATCAGACCATTTGATTGCATGGATTTCTGTGATCAGGGCTTACATTAAGCAGTACCTGTGGCGTGAACCCTGACTTATACCATCGGACCATGCAATTCCAGGTCAACGGCAAAATTTGATGGATAAATCTTAATATGACATAATGCTCAGCACGGTGCGTCCTACCTTCTGACATCATCTGACTTTTAGCACAGTCGCTGTCATCTGGGTGCAGGCTTTGCCTGCCAACGACAAATAGTGAGCGCCTAAGGCGACTTGAACCTACCCCCGCCAGGGGGGGGGGGGGGGGGAGGATCGGAAGGCGGGCGCTCTAACCAACTGAGCTTTTAGGACAATGGGACAATTTTACGAAGCATTTGATTAGGAGCTACTTCTCTGTAGGCGCAATCCTTTTAACCGAAGTAATACCCCCCCCCCCCCCATTCTCTCTTTCTCTTTTCTGTTCTCTCTTTCACTCATGCACTGCTTCTCTCTTCACGTCGGAAAGTCGTCCCGCGCCATTGTCTGCACTGCAGCTACGTCATTGGCCGGACGGGCCTGCCTGGTTCTGGCAGCGGCACGCCCTGTCTGCAGGCGGGCAGCAGCAGCGGCGCTCGGCTTCCCCTGACCGCGAGTGGGTGCTCCCCCAGGTCCCGACCGGCCGCCGTTGACGTCACAACGGCGCCCCGCCCCCTCCCCACGCCCGGCCCGCCGGCATCACGCGCCGGACGCAGTGAGTGAGTCCGCGCGGCGGGTCCGGCGGCGCCCCGAGACGACCGGCGACGCGGCGGCCAGGTGGATGCGCCCGGCTCCTGACGTCCACCATGCTGGCGGCTCTGATCGTCGTGACAGGTGAGGGTGAAGGTCGCGGCGGCAGGGGGACAAACACCCCGGTCCCGCGGCCGCCGCCGACCCCCGTCAGTCAGCGGGACCTGGTCCGACACGTCTACGCAGCCGACGTGCTGGCAGCGTAGCCGGTACTGAATGAGGCACCCCGGCCCGTCTAATCGTGGCATGTGTTATCCATCAGTTGCAAACTCCTGTGAATTGACATTTTAGGGCAAGAAACAAAATCGTAAGGGTGAGAAATAGAATCAAATGCGATCTCCATAATCTAGAGCAGATGAATGAAACTGGCCACATTGTGTAGCAATTAAGATGCAATAATGGGGATGGCCGCAGAAGACTTAGGCAGTCGTGTGCCCCAAAAAATGAGGCGCCAGGTGTAACTACTACCTATGATGGTAGACGTCGTTCAGTAGCTGTCTTGGGTGGTTTGTTTTCAGGCTGAACCATTCTTGGCGCGCTCCTACATCCTTTCTTTTGACGGGTTCGTGACCATTTCGGCTTGTTGGGACCTCGTCAGGACCCAGGTGTTAACAGGCAGTGCTCGGACGGGCAGTATTTTTTCCGCATACCAGACCGGTCTGTTTTGGTGTTCGGTGGTCGACCCTTCGTTTCCGAGGGAAGGGTACAATCAAAACAGTCCAAATGATGTGCGCTCTCCGGAGGGTGTTGAGCAGTGTGGTGTGATTCAGAGACGCTTCAAAACACCAGGCATTATTACGCAACGAGCGGTACAGGCTAGGTGGCAAACCTCACCTTGTGCATGTGCGACGAATTTCCAGTCATGCAAATAAGACATGCACCTACGTAATGCGCCTGGTATACTATATTAGAACATTGTTTCATGTTGCATGCTACTTGCGATGTCACTGCCACGATGTGTTTTGTCTAGCATTGAGAGTGTGTAAAGATTTGTCCGCTTAGATCTAGGTGTGAAGCAAATACGTCATCCCAAATTGGCTTAGGCTTGGCTTCAGGCATCCTGCCATTCGTCTTTGCAGAGGTTTAAAAATCTCGAAAAAATAATGCGGAGATAATTATTCGGAAAACCTTGAACGAGAATGTACGAGACATTACTATCGACCTTTTTGCCAATCGATGTGGTATTAGCCCATGACACCAGTATCAAGCAAGTTCCATGTAGCCATCTCGAAACTTGTAAAAATAGTGCGCTGTTGTCAAATCAAGTACAGTCCAGGCTCGTGCTGCGGAAGACAATAATTCTTCCCTCGTCGTGTGCGTCCGCGTCCAAATATGCACTGCGTTGACGTATGCATGACGCATGACACCGCGTCTGGAGTAGGGTTTCCTGCTTCTTGCAATGTCTATTGCTGGGCTCCGCCAACAGAGACGTACCATTTTCTCGGCAACAATCACTTCCGCCAACACGTCAGGCGGAGAAATCTGGAGCTCTGTGGTATCCAACGACACTTAGTGGGCGTGCTTTCCCACCCGCATGGCAGTGGTCTGCTGTGTGCGAGCGAGTGTCACAACGTCCTGAGGCGTGTACGGGTGCCGACTCTCGGAGGTCAGTCGCCTGGCCACGGGCTCCGTTCCAGTCACAGCGGCCGGACAAACGAGCGCCCGCACGTGTGTGGCGTGTGGCTGGCCGTTTGCAAGACGTCGCGTGCGACCAGGGCGCGGAAGAACAGCTGCAACCTGGTCTGGAAACCTGGGGGCAGCGGAGCCGCAGTGCCTACATTGTCATGTCCGATTATGCGGTGGGAATGGGAGAACACTTTGGACGGAAGCAAGTGACTCTGCCTTAGCGGAGAAAATCGTCATGCGAGACGGTGGTTAATGTATTCGGTAGGACGCAACCCCAATTTACTAGCCCATGTATGACCATCCCGCGGTATGGGGTCAGTAGACCCGAAAAAAACAATGTCACGTCTCAGAATAAGCTACACTTGCTTATTTCTCCGACCGACTGTTTTAGAGTCGCATGCGCTCTGTGAGCTTGCGTAAGGAACTCAAGTCTTGCACACACAAACGCACATAAATATGCATCACTCATGAAACAAAAAATGGATTGCCTTTTGCGTGAAATTTGCGGCATGTTTCACAATTTCCTGAGGCTTTCACATACGCCAATGATTGGTTTAGTGCATACTGATATAAAAAGAGACATGAACTTTGAGCATCAGTGACAAACGTAAGAAACATGCAACTTAAAAAGTGAAGCCACTGGTATTGACGCTCAGAAATCGCTACCACGCACGAGTTGTGCATTGCAATCGAGTTCTTATTGAAACTAACTGAACCATTAGAAAGGTTGGGTTTATTCAGACACGAAGCCAAGGCTTCCCTCCCGGAGGGGACGCATGATAATTTTTCCAAACGCATGCGAATTCGGACAGTATTCCTGTGCAACTGGACAGTCTCTAGCGTGAGCCCCTCGGCTAGGGTGGGGCGGGGTATGACCCCGTGGCTTCCCCTGACTACTTCCCTGGGCCTATAAAAATTGCTATAATTCTCTCTGTTCTAGACCAGCTGCAAAATGTGGCGAAATACTTTTCATAGAATAATTCCCAGACACGTGGAGCACCGACACTTTTGCACTTTACCTTCATGTCTGTATGATAACGGACTGAAGCACTGTCTTAATGAAAGTACTTCTGTATGACAACGGACTGAAGCACTGTCTTGATGAAAGTACCCCTGTATGACAACGGGCCGAATCACTGTCTTAATGAAAGTACCACTAAGTCGCACTTACCTACCGCTGAGCCCTAAGCCATTATCTCAAAATAATTCTGCACTTTTTTCACAACAAACGAAAATCCTGGAGAAAAACTTTACAGAATATAGGTAAGTGGACCAGGACTGTGCACAAATGCTGCTATGCAATAAAGATATTCTAGTCTTAAGTATTGTTAAGTAGGCCCAATACTTTATTGTCTCCTGTACAGTTTATCAGTAGCGCATTTGAAAGCGAGAGGGCCACTCATGAGAGCCACCACACCTTTTTCTGTGATGCATGTCTTTCACAATCATTGCTGAAGATGACACTAAAATGTACACCCAAACACGATATCCATTAATAATCAAACCATTGCTCCTTATTTTCAAATGGCAAACACCCTGTCATTTTTAAATGATGTTGATGAGTTGTATACAGCACTCGCAATTTGATTCTGTTCTGCTAGAAATGGCCTTTGAAGGTAAGCTTGCGCAGGAACATTAGGAGTCTTCATAAGAAACAGTTTGGAACAGAATAGAGGGCCAAATTTCTCCAGTACATTCAAGCTCGAGCTATTTTTAAGCTGGTGCTGTGAAATTGAGGATGTTACGGCATAGTTAAAAGATTTCGAGATGCTATTTTGATTGGAGTAGGCAAGGCCACCTCAAAGAGTCACAAAGCACAGCGCATGCGCTGAAGTCTTACTGAAATAGTGGCACATGCAGACATATATAAATATATATATGTATACCCTGGCATGCAGATGCACAGATGTACATAAATATATACTTAATTTTATATTGACAAAACGCCCTTTTCATCGTTCCATGCATCTATATATACATATATACATATATATATATATATATATATATATATGTATATATATATATATATATATATATATATATATATATATATATACACATCATGATCAACATGCAGCATGCTTCAAAGCTTTGTTTTGCGGTTGCAAGCCCATGCCCTCCGCCTCAGCTTTCCGACATGGTAGAGGCGTGTGGCCATACTGGCCTCTCCCACGAGAGTCACGCGGAGAAAATGCTCTCCGCTGCAGCGCCGGCGGAGATAGACCCTGAACTCGAGTGCCGGCCGCGCAAGCCAGGAGCGAGGTAGAGTGTGACGGCGGCGTTTATCCGGATGCCGCCCGGCCCCCCCCCCCCCCCCCCTCCAGTACGTTGTTTGGTCGAGGAGAAAAGCCCTGTGACCTTTAATGTCAAGATCATTGTAGCTCAGGGCCTGAAATCAGGTAACCTTGCACTACCACGTGAAAGTAGAGGGAGACGTGCTTTCACTTAAACGATGTTTGCTCTGCCGGCATATTAAAAGGTGCGCAGAGAGGGTATTGCGTGATTTGGTCACCTTGGACGCGATATGACAAGTCAGAGACGTATCAAAGACGCTATCAAGTGACTTGGGCAAAGTTGCAGATGGCGTATTGGGCTGCCACCCCCCTTGTGTCTTTATGCTCTAGAACATCGGGTGGGGGAGGGGGGGGGGGGGAGGACTACCATTTGCCACCGCCGCAGCCGACGCGAGTCAAGCGCCAGGTGTGTGGATGTAACACACCGTTACATGGAGGCGCTCTTGGTTGGGCGATCCCGTGACAGGCACCAAACGGCCTTCCCGATTGCGACAAACGTACCGGGGCTGGAATAGCACGCTACCGGTTCCCAAGTTACGTAAAGCCGTAAATCAGCATTGCAAATTGATTGCACATTGACAACTGTTTTGGCTAATGGTTTGCGTTCGATATTTTCCGTACGGTGCGTGGTCCGTATCCATGTAAGTTATAAGTCTTGCTCGAAGGCAGGCCTAATGTTGATATTATGTTTTGGTCAAGTGGCCTGGACCTCACAGCGTCGTTCAAATCTAATCCACTAAGTTTAGTAAAACCACGAGCACTTCGATGTCCCGGTGTGAAGAGAGCAGCATGCTCCGCATGAGGTCGTGGGCTGTATCCAATGACGTACGCTCTGCAAATGCAAAACATCACATTTAAGGTGACCGTGCGTTCTCAAGGTCAGTATCTAACCATGCATATTTTTCAGCATATTGATTCAGCTGCGCAGTCCCGCTATTGACGCAATTCTGAATGTACTCAGAGCATCATTTGAGCTGACTATTCAAGACAGAGGTGCGTTTCAACATCCGCTGACCGTCGTCGCTTCGAGCGGGCGTTCCCTCGGTGATCTGTCACCCTGCTCAGGCAATACGAACCGTGAACGCATGGGTGAAGTAACTAAGAGACAATTCATCTCGGTCGTGTCCCAAACGCTGCAGAAATCATTTGGTCACATTGTGG